TTTTTTTTTTTTTTTAAATCACTTTAATTATTCTTATACAGAAACTTTTAATTTTAGAATAGCTTTAGATTTACATATAACTGTGACATTAGTACAGACAATTTTCATATACCCCATACCAAATTCCTTCTATTACCATCTTATACTAATGTATATTTGTCACAAGTACCAAACCAGAGCGCTCCATCCTGTTACCTAGTTTAGTTTTCCCTGTATCATTCATGACTGCCTTGTTGGTCTTTTGCTGTTTATTATCCATCTCTCCTTACTAGAACTTACATTGCAGAAGAGCTTAGCTTGCCAATTTTTTCCTCCCAATTGCACCACATAGAACAGGATTAGCGCTTAACTGTTTTCTATATGGTTGAGTGAGGATATACTCATGGAGGCTGGACTCTCCTGGGCTGACAGGGACACCATTAGGTGGTCACAAGAATAGAGTACTGATGGCCTGGGTTATTCCTTGTGTGCTCTTAACATCTGGCACGTAGCTCTTCTTAATCTGAAATGCCATCTTGTCAAAAATTCTCAAACCACTATCTCTCGTCAACCTATGGAAAAAGGAACCTGGAGTCTGGAGAAGAACTGATGTCCAGGCTGGACCACTGCAAAGCCAAGATCACCCAACACATCTTCCCTTATCAAGCATTCCTAGAATCACGTGGCTGACTTTAGGAGAAGGACCGGACTCTCACTCCACTAGGTATATGGGCAGGGGATTGAACATGCTGACCTAACCCCTCTGGTCTACCTCTCCTTAGAGATGCTCTTGAGTTCTGTTGTTGTTAGGTGCCGCTGAATCAGTTCTGACTCACAGCAACCTATGCACAACAGAATGAAACATTGTTTGGTCTTGCATAATCCTCACAATTATTATGCTTGAGACCATTGATGCTGCTACTGTGTCATGTATCTCCTTGGGGGTCGTTCTCTTTATTGTTAAGCTTCCACTTCTCCAAAGACTGGTCCCTCCTGACAATACGTTCGAAGTATGAAAGTAGAAGTCTGGCCGTCCTGGCTTTTAAGGAGAATTCTGGTGTACTTCTCCTAACACAGATATGTCTGTTCTTCTGGCAGTCTACAACACTTTTAATATTCTTCTCCAACACCATAATTCAAGTGCATCAATTTTTCTACGGGCTTCCTTATTCACTGTCTAACTTTCACATACATTATGAAACTACTGAAAATAGGCTTGGGTCAGGCGCACCTTAGTTCTCTTAATTCTCAAATTGACATCTTTGCTCTTCAACACTTTATAGAGGTCTTGTGTAGCAGATTTCCCTAATGCAATACATCCTTTGATTTCTTGACTGATGCTTCCATGAGTGTTGATAGTGGATCCAAGGCGGTCTTTGACAACTTCAATCCTTTCTCCATTTAGCTTGATGTCATTTACTAGTCCAGTGGTGAGGATTTTTGTTTTCTTCACATTGAGGTGCAACCCATACCAAAGTTTGATCTTCATCAGTAAGTTTTATATCCTCTTCACTTTTAGCAAGCAAGGTTGTATCATCTGCATATAACAGGTTGTTAATGAGTCTTCCTCCAATCCTGATGCCATGTTCTTCTTCATATAACCCAGCTTCTCTGATTATTTGCTCAGCATACAGACTGAATAAGTATGGTGAAAAAATACAACCCTGGCATACATCTTTCCTGATTTTAAATTGTTCAGTGTCCCCTTGTTCTGTTTGAATGACTGCCTCTTGGCCTATGTATTGTTGTTGTTATGTGCCGTGGAGTCGGTTCCGACTCATAGCGACCCTGCACAGGGTTTCCGAGGCTGTTAATCTTTACGGGAGCAGAACGCCTCATCTTTCTCCCGCGGAACTGCTGGTAGTTTCGAACTGCTGACCTTATGGTTCGCAGC